CGGCCAGAGCCTGCCCTACTCGGACCGGCGAGGGCTCCACCCAAGTGCGGTCTTCCCAATAAAAGCTGGAATTCCCGGCTGGGCTTAGACAAAGAGGGACCGCAGCAAATCGACGCCGCGGGCAAACCAAACCCTAGCCGGAGTTTACGTGCACCTCTGGGGTCACCGAGGCGCCTGCTAATCCACCCAACACAGGCCGTCCCCGCCACTATCTCTTCCAGGAAAAAAAAAAAAAAATGAAAGCATACCTTCCTTTGATTCCGCCCAGAGGCCACACGTCTTCCTGTTCTCTTTCCCAGCCCACAGAGGCCCTGTTCCACCTTAGCAGACTGGACCCCAGCAGTGCAAGAGCCATTCCTCGTGACCACAAAGTGGAAAGCTACTCCCCGGGTGCCTACACCATCCAGCCACTCTAGGTCAGGAATTCAAGGTCTCTTGAGTCTCAGGTAGAAAGCCTCCTACCTGCTCGCCACGAACCCGCTGCCCCCTCCACCTCACTCCTAGAAGGGAAAGAAACTATAACGAGAAGTAATCCTAGCTCACTGCACACCATTCACCCTTTAGGCTGCTAGCTTGGCCCTCAGTTTCCTTCAGGCCAAAGACACATTGTTTCCCTGTGAATAAGTGTGTGAATGTGGTGGTGTGGCCCACTCTTCCGTACCCAAGTCAGTCTCACTCATTCGGCAGGAAAGTCTTCGGGAGGCCTGGAGGAGCGTTTGTCATTCAGCCTGTGTATCTAAGCATGGATGTATGCATATGAATGCTTTTTGTGTTTCCAAGTGACCCTCTTCACACCTTTAAATGGGCTATTGTCTCTGGAACGCAGTTACAGAAATTCTGCCCCAGTTTCCAGCTCAACGAAGTCTGGGATTTTTCTCTCCGAATCTCGCTATACATCTCTGTATTTGCATACCCATGTTTACATTCCCCTCGGCCAGTTCTTTATCTCTTATGTATCTCTTGTTCCATTTGGGCATCGGAGCCCAAGTGTCTTGATTTGTCTCAGCACATGTCATTCAGACGCACATCTTAATCTGAGCATTCTTACTACTGCCATTCTTCTGGCTTTGCCTATAAAGTGGCTCTTTCCCAGGCCAGACCAATATGGGTTTGCAGCTGAAATGTAAATAGAGGATCTCTTAAGACCACAAACTCTTAAAGGAAGAGGAGGGAGGAGGAGACTGGAATGTTAGTAATGAGTTATTTATGGGTGGGTAACTCATCCACCCATTTTGAGCTCTAGAAAGAGCTAGACAAATTTCTGCAGAAGTGTATTAAAATTTTAGACCTATTTAATAGTAACCCCTAATATATGTATACAAATGACGGATCTCATTACACATTAGTGTCCAGCTCCTCTTTGGAGGCTGTCTCCTTGCACATACCTAACTCCCCACAAGTTCATGGTTGAAAGTGTCTATTTATATAGAGACAACTCAAAGACCGCGTTGCTGTCTTCAACGCATACCTGTACAAGGTGGCGGGGCACTTCAGGCTCAGGTCCTCGTCTGCAGTAGTCATGGTCAGAGGCCCCACCTGCCTACAGCTCTGTGCAGACCTTCCCGTCCTTGAACACCCGCATGAATTCTCTTTGGGAACATTGAGTCTACATCTGTCTTCCAAACTCAGTTAAGTGAGGGTGTTCATTGTGTGTGTTCACAGCTCTCGGACTGAGAACTACCTGGTCAAACAAGATCGTCTAGCAGCTGCGTTTGGTTTGTGGAAGAATCGAGCCCGATGCACTAGGATGTGACCGTGCACACACAAGAAGAGAAAGGAAAACCCTAGGCCCAGACTCACACCTCCTCCCACCTCCAGCTACTCTGCCTTTAGGAATTTCCACTAGGCTCTTTGCCCCCCTTTCCCTATTACACTACCACACCATGGCCTTCAAAGGGTTAAGAGAAACCCCCCCAGCCTTCCCTTCATCCAGCTCGCTGGGCCCGCAGGCTAGCTAGCTTACTCGCAGCTCACCGAGTATGCAGCCGTCTCCGAGCCTCCTCCCCCCCCCGCACCTCCAGTCCTTCAGCCGAGAGGGAGCCTGCATGCCTGTCTAGACCGATCTATCACCGGCACACCAACAACACCCGCGAGAGCGCGGAGACCCTGCCGAGGTCCCCCGGCTCGCACGGTTCACGGCAGACAGAACCCAGGGAGCGTGACTGCGCCTGCGGGGTGGGGGTAGGGGACCCACAGGCGCTGGCCGCCCCGAACGCACCACGGGTCCTCCCCAGCCCCGGCCCCCCGCGCTCCCACCAGCCCGGCTGCCGGGGCACAGTCACAGCTCCGCACACTGGGCAGTCCTATTTTTATCTTGTCTAATCCCAAACTGGGCGGGGAGCACAGGCGTCGTGCTTAGAGAACAAGAGATAGGCGAGGGAGGTGGGGAGGAGCAGGCAGGCAGCGACGCGAGCGAGAGCGAGTTAAAGACACAGTGGAGGCGACCGCCGGCAAGAAGAAAGAGCGGGCTGCGCGGGCCTCGAGGCGCCGCACGCAACGCGCCGCCCCGCGAAGTTACACTCGCCTCCCCGCCGTCCCTCGCAACCGGCCCCTCCCCACTTCCCAGCGGCGCTCTCCGCGGCCGGGACGGCGGGGCCCCGGCCTGTGTGGGAGGCGGAGGGCCAGGACTGCCCTGCAAAGGGCTGGAGAGAATCGCTAATGAGCTGTGCAGCCCATTGATCCGGAGAACACTTCCTAATTAACTCTCAGTCACCTACTGGTGACAGCGCCTCAAAGGACAGCGCTGGGGCCAGCCGAGCCCTAGCACCAACTTGCCGGCCCGGCGCCTGGCGCCCGAAACCTGCGCGTTCCCCTAAACACCCCAAGGCAATTGGCGTGCTTGGCAGTGTATACCCGCACACCGAAAGCCAGCCTCGGATTAAACCTGGACGACATATTAATCATCGCCTCCCCCCGTTGCTCTACGCGCTGAAACTGTGCCCAAAATAAACACGAAAACCAACACTGCAAAACCCAGACCAGATAACAAACAGGTCGAGGGTAGAGTGGGAAGGGTCGAGAAGTGAGCGTATTCCCTAAGTGTCCACGTACAGGAGTCTTTGAGGCTGACAATTAAAATGCCTTCCACGCAAGCAATTCTGTTGACAAAACCGAACCCAACACTTCGTGAGGATTGACTTCGGCCCGCGGTGTCCGTTTCCAGTGCCACAGGAAGTGTCAGATGGCTAGAAATACCCAAGTCTGTCTGCACTCACCACCCACCATCCTCTGGGGTGGGCCATTTCCTCCGCGTTTTTACTCCCAGGCCATTTTAAGGATCTTTCTCCAAGAGGCTACCCCTAGAACCAAATACCACACTACCCCTTCCCTAGCGTCTTCTCAAAATGAAAAAAGGTGGGGGGGGGGGAACACAGCCAAAACCCCGAGTTGTCTAGTCTAGACGCAGCGAGGCTGTACGAATACCTATACGAAGCGCGCTGGCTTCTTTTAAGGTTTGTTTCTAAATACACATAACCCTCCTCCTTCCTTCTTCGCTCTTCCATTTCCCCCACCCCCACCCTCCAGACGCCGGAGGCGCGCGCCATGGCGCGCGAGCACTCACAGCACCTAGCTGTGAGATCGCGGACTTTCTGGAAGAGATTCATTAACAGCAAATTATGCCTCGCCCGGCCACGGCCTACACGATGCCAGACTCGTCCGTCTCCGGGACCCCGGGACGTGCCCACTCGAGCGTGCGAGCGGCGGGAAGCCCGCCCGGACCACGGGTGCCTCCGGCCGCCCTACTCCGCACACGGCGCCCCAAGCCTCGTTCAATAAACAGCAGGCGCTCGTCGCCGCCGCGGCGAGCCCCCGAGATGGGGGAGGCTCTGCAGTGCAGCCGCCCATCGGCTCCGAGCGGGGGCTCCGCGGCGCCTTGCTCTCCCCGTCTAGGCCGAGGATCGTGCCCCGGTGCGCAAGTTCCTCTTCGCCTGGAGCCTCCGTGCCACACGCCCTCCGAGTGGGACCAACTTCCTCCCGCCGCAGACTTTCACACGCCCATCAGGGCTACCCACCAGACTCCCCATCGCCCAGCGGAGGGCCCGGGTCTCGCCTGCCCCCGCCCTCCCTCCGTGCCGCTGCCCCCGCAGAGGCACATTCTAAGCCCACCCCTGGGGGTTGAGAACTTAAAATTTACCCGGAACACGGGGAGAGAGAAGAGGGGGGAAGGGGGAGGGAGTCACAGATTTTAATCTTAAAAGAACATTTACAAAACAACGCGTCTGACCTGGCTGGCTGGCGGGCCAAGTCGGAACCCCTGGCTCTCCTAGAATTCTTAGTAGTTTTTTTTTTTTTTTTTAATCCACGTGATTCGCGCTTTGGGGCAAGCCGAGAAAAAACGGGACTCCCCTTCTGAGTTGCGCGGCAGCGGCGGCAGGTCGAGCTCGGCTCGGCTGGAGGCACCCGCCACACACCCTCGCGCACGCACACGCCGTCGTTCCACTTGGAGAAACGACCGGCCCCGGAGAGGCGAGACGAGGCGGCGGCGGCGGCGGCGGCGGCTGGGGGTTTTTACAGTTCTTTCCCGAGTCGAAAAAGAAAGCAGACGGCAACCCGCCGCCCTCCCCTTCCTGCTCGCGAGCTAACGCCGAACCCAGCTTCCCAGCTTCCAGCCCACCTCCCCCCCCCCTCCGCCCGACTCGCGGCGCTCAGCGGCGACCGCGCTCCCGCGCACAGACACACACAGGCTGCAAACTTCCACTCCGCGAACTCCCTGCTCTCCTCCCAGCCCCCCCGGAGGCGCCAGGCTCCCAGCCGCGCCCCCTCCCTCCCTGGTGCCCACGCGGGGCCGCTTAGGTTGGCTGCATTTTTAATAACTTATAGCTATGAAATAAAAACGAAAGCGACCAAGGCAGCCAAAGGGAAGCGCGAGGCAAAAGCTTCGCGAGGTAGGCGACGGGCGGGGGCCCCGGGGGAGGGGGCTGACTGCAGCCCTCGGCGTGCCCGCCCACCAGCCCACCCGTTGGTGGCCTCCCGGGGGAAAAGGTGTTCCGGACACTGACCTGAAATCCCCGGTCGGGGAGTAGGCAGGGAGCCTGCGATCCGGCGCTTTGAAGTTTTCCCCCGAGCGGACTCGAGGCGGCGAGGAGGAGCGGTGGTCGGTTGGGTGGGTGGAGAGAGGTATGAAGAGTGGGGGGTTGGCGGCGATAACAAACGGAGAAGGAGCCGGGCCGGAGAAGCGCGGCGAACAGCAGCAAAGTTTGCGGTCCCTGGCTGCCCGCAGCCCGCTCACGGCGCCGCGCTCGCTCGACTCCCTCGCCGTCTGCAGCCAGCCGGCTGCCCTCGGGGTCGGCCCCGCCGAGGGGTGGGCTCTGGGCTGGGTGGGGGCGGGGCGGGGCGGGCTCGGAGCCTCTGGGCAGGTGGCGACAGCCCAGTGCGATCCTCCGGGCTCCCGCAGCTGGACTGGGCTCGGCCGGGTTCAGTAGCTCCCGCGCCGCCGCCGCCGCCCGCGCTCGGGCAGGAGCCCCAGCGCCATGTTGACGGTTCGCCGCTAGCGCCCGCTCGGGCTGGGTGTGTGTGTGTGTGTGTGAGTGTGTGTGTGTGTGTGAGTGTGTGTGTGTGTGAGTGTGTGTGAGTGTTGGCCAAGTCGTCCCTGCGCGGCGACAGCGCGGCTTGGGCTCTCCGCCCGGCGGCTCGCGGGCTCCCCCTCCGCCGCCGCCGCCCGCCTAGCTCCCGCTCTCGGTCGCGGTCTGGGCTCCGGCGCGTCTCCCCCGCAGCCGCCGAGCTCGGCCCGCGTTCAGCGAGGAGCGCAGCTCTGCCTCACCTTGCCGCTGGGAGCCCAAGCTCCGTCTGCCGCCGCACGCCGCGATCCCAACGCGTCCCCCCTCCCTGGTTCCCTCCTCTTCCTCCTCCCCCCCCCCCCCCCCCCCCCCCCCCCCCCCCCCCCCCCCCCCCCCCCCCCCCCCCCCCCCCCCCCCCCCCCCCTCCCCCCGCAGGCGCAGCGCTCGGGCGACAGCCGCCCGCCCGCCGCCGCCTCCAGCTCTCGCAAGTTTGAGCTCCCCCAGTCTCCGCTCACCCTCCGCTGCGGCGCCTCCGCCGTGGGGTTTCGGGCGGGGTGATTCCCCAGGAAAGGTTTGCCCGAGTTTCCCCGGCCGTCAACGATGTACGGCCCCGCACGTTTGGGCCTCTCCGGATCTGAACCTCGGATCACTTGGGTGGCGCCCCCCTCGCCCCCTTGCCTCCCCTCCCCAGCTCGGGCCGAGTTGGTTGCGCACGCCCGGCCCGGGCGCACGTCCTGGGCGAGCCGGAGACCGACTTGGGCGGCGGCGGCGGCGGCGAGGGCGGCCGGCTGAGCCAGAGCCGAGGGGATGGGGGCGGCGGGGGCGGCGGGGGCGGCTCTCCCAGCCGCGCGCCGAGACTCCCCTCGCTACCCAGAAGGCCAGTGGAGGACCGCAATTACCATAAAGCGCCTCGCACTCCGCTCAGCTAAAGCTGTCAAACCCCAGCGGCAGCAGCCGCTGCTGCCGCCTCTTGCCACCAGCGCTGCGCTCTCCCGGCCTTGTCCCCTCCGAGACCCAGCGGAGCGTGGCCGGTGCGCGCCCGCGCCCACCCCCGCCCCAGATTGCCCCTTCCTCCCGGAGGAACCCTTTCCCATTTCAGTGTTAAAAGCTACCTGAAAACACCACCCCAGGCAATAGTGGCCGTTCCGCCTGAACTCCGTGCCCGAGTTCCCCGGACGTTTCAATTGTGTGGGAATTGTTTGGAGGTGGGGGGAAGGGGGAGCAGCCCATGGAGGCCCAGAGAGGCGGGTGGGGGACGGTCGGAGAGCGGAGATCCGCCTGTATTTCTCCCGGTTTTTCAGCATTTTCTCGGTCTGCACCTCGGATGGTTGGAGGGGTTGCCCTGGCCCCTCACCCCGGCCTTGGGAGATTATCTCCCACGTTTTATTTTCCTTGGCAGGGAACAACTTTTGGCTTACACCGTTCGCCCCATAAATTACTCGGTAACGTCGTGCTCATTGGTGCTCGGCGGCGGCGTACAGCCTGCGCCCGCAGCAGTTCAATTCAATTGACACGTATTGAGCTTCTCCAGCGCTCCCGGCGCGGCGCTGGGCGCGGGGGGAGGGCGGGGGCAGGCGGGAGGGAGGGGAAAGCGGAGAAGCGAGGTTCCGGCCTCCCCGGTGCGCAGAGCCTCAAGGGCGAGCAGAGAAGCCCTAGTTGGTGAAGCAGGCGGGAAGGGGTAGGAGTGGGGGAGGGGATATTCCGGACTAACCGCACCCAGACTGCGGGCCTGGACTTCGCGGCTAAAGGTGACCCCATTCGGCTGCCCGCTAGGGTCTTTTTATGCTGAGAAGGGGGTGGGTGTCTCTTTCTGCCTAAGGACAAGATGGTGCAGGCTCGATGAAACATAAATCTGAAATGGAGGTGGCTTGTAAATCCACACGGAAAGTTTTTAAAATATCCTGGAGTGTCCCCATGCCAAAAATAATCAAAAGCATCTCAAGTTGATTACTAAGTCAAGGTCAAGGCCAAAATCAGCTAGCTAGCAGATATTTTCCCTTTTAAAAATTAGACTCACTACTGACTGTGGGACTGGTATTAGGTGCGATTTTATTCATTCTGTTTTAGTTCTCAGCACATAGTTATAAAAACAGCCCTTCTCAAAGCAGAAGTGAAACATCTCTACCGTTTGAAACCCGAAACTTCGGCAGAATTAAATCTTCATGCTCCAGAGCTGCTTATAACAACTGATGCAAAAGACAGACGAGCAAGTGCCCCCGCTAGCAGTGCCCAGCCGGGCTGGGCCGCGAACGCGACCAGCGACTGCAGAATGGAATGCACGCTTTTTTCTTCCTGGGCTTTCTGGGGGTGGATATCTCTGCAAGCTAACCCACATATTTTTTTAATCTCCAGTAACAAGCAGAAAGACACCTGGACTATTATGCTATAAAACTATTTTTTATAAAGACATTTTAGGGCCAGACATTAAAAGTTATTAGATTGAACGCATGCGAGTTACAGACACAGCTGGAGAAAAGGCCTCTGGTTGTGTGTTGTAGCAACATTTCTTTTTGAAGCGACTCCCTTTATTCAAAACAAGTCAAAAATAACCGGGAAGGCTGAAGTTGGGTATTTGTGGGGAAACTCTCTGAACGTGGTTCCAGGCGAGGTGGCCGCTCTGCTGCTGCGGGCTGGACGGGAGAACTGGCCTGGGCCAGTGTGGAGCCGTGCCAGGCTCTTTCGGCAGGGTTAGGCCGAACCGCAGAGACCCTGGCCCGGTGCCCAGCCACCATCTCTCCCCTCCCCTCGTCTCCCCAACTCTGCCCCCAGGCACAGGCTTTTCTCGGAGTTCCAAGTCGCATGTAACCGTCCAGAACTTTTACAAAATCCAGGAACCAAGCTTGCGGCCTGCAGCCTCTGGGAGTCTTACAGCCTCCCGGGGCTGCTGACAAAGTGGTTTGTCTAACTTTAAAAGTCCTACAGTTCCGGAGGCTGAGGCAGGAGAATCCCTTGAACCCGGGAGGCAGAGGCTGTGATGAGCCGAAATCGCGCCATTGCACTCCAACCTGGGCAACAAGAGCGAAACTCCGTATTAAAAAAAAAAAAAAAAAAAGTCCTAGAGTTAAAATGAATCGGGAGGTGGGGGTGCTGTAAATGCGAAGGGGCCGCGGGGAAGGCTGACTGAGGGAGAAATTTGATGCTGGAAATAAACAGGCCAGTAAATTCACCTTTGACATAATTTGCACCCCCCCCCCCCCCCCACACACACACGGCCTTTATAGGGATTTCGCCTCCACGGTATCCTCACGCAGGCTGGTAGGATTAAAGGGTTTCTCCTCCATCTCCTAGGGATACGTTTTCCAACTCCGTGGGATTTTAAAAATATCTTATTAAGGGAGTCCTAAGAGGCACGAGTGGTGGGGGGGATTCGTGACTCACTGGGAATTAAAATGTGGGATTTTCCCGAGGCGCTCTAAGGCAGAGAGGGGGAGGGGAGATTACACCTATTGGCCCCGTTAGTTCGAATTGTTCTGGGGAAAACAAGCAGAAAGCTGTCGAAGGGCAGTCCCATCTTGTGTCCCCACTCAAGAAGGGGCTCAGGGAGCTGGGGATGTCGCCGAGCCTGCAGTGTGTGTGGGCGGTTTGGCTCTTCTCCTGCCCCCTCTTCCCCCGCCCTCCCACGAGCCCCTAGGGAGCTGACCCGGGGGTCAGGCCGCTATACCCAGCACTCAGCAAGCGGAGGATTTCAATGAAAGCAGAGGAGGAGGAGAGTGAGCAAGGGAGCTCATGGGAGGGGAGGCCGTGCAGCCCACGAAGAAATTAAGAAATAGACGCTGAAATGAGAGGTGCTGCGGAGTGGAGCAGCGGGGGCTGCCCCTTCTCCATCAGTCTCCGTCCCCATGGGAGGGTCTCCTGATGATAACAAACCGCTGGACCTCAGGCTAACCAGGCCCTGCAACTGGGCAAGCGACCTGGCCGTTCTAGGAACAGGCCTCGAGCCAGGCTGCCCTTCTCAAGGCAGGTTGACTCTGCAAGACCGGCTAGGGCCTCTCCCACACACCTCTAGCCCCACCCTGGCCTAGAAGAAAGGCCAGGCATCCTGTATCTGGGGGGACCCTGGCCTCCTAACCTCGTGTGCAAAGTTCATTTATAACTTGTGTGTGGGATCCACATCATAAAGCTCTGTAGGCCTCCAGTGGCCCTCCTCGGAGGCTGTTCTCAGGACGATGACACTTGGTACTGGAACAGGTGGGACTTGCATGAGTATAGATCATGTATTTTTACATAATGTGAGGTAGTCTTTCTTTTAAAACACACTCACACTTAGAGTCTTCTGGTCACTTGTCACAAGAACTCTGGGCTTATCCAATAGCACTTTAAAAAAGATCGACAGCCCCATCCTCCAAGCACAAGGCACGGCTGGCTTCCTCCCTGAAACTTAAACGAGGTAACAAGAGGAGGCCCATCCTCCTCCCAGGATTTCACTCATCTGGAAACATCTAAGGTAGCTGCCTGCCAGGGCTGAAGACTGCTGGACTTAACGGTCGCCAGGTGGAACCTGACTGCTCTTTCTTCTTCCTGGCCTTTGGAGGGTTATTGGGTGTTTGGGGGAAGAAGGCCCTGGGCGCAGGCTCTCCATGGTTCCTAGCAACCGTCTCGGAATTTCTGGTCTGGGCTTGATTTGGGTCAGGCCCTGAGCTCCCCGAACTCAGGCACGCTTGGGTGAACTAGCGTCTACCTTATGGGGGCCCGCAGGGTGGTTGGATGTTGACCAAATGGGCATAAATACAGGAGGCTTCTGGGAGGCCGCACCTTTCGCTCGGCAAGGGCTTAAGAGACTTCGACGCCGCCGCGCTGGGCCGGATGCTCCAGCAGATAAACCCGGACGCCACGTCGCTCCTCCGCTGCTTATTTAGCAA